TGTAAAAAATCCATCATAGATAAAAAAAAATAGCTAATTTTTTTTGATAACATCTATTGCTATCATAGATTACCTAAAAATGTTATATTGGATAAAGGGACTCAACTTGTATTAAGATTTTAGAGAATCTTTTAAAATTCTAATAAATATTTTTTAAGATTATAAAGATAGATATAAAGCTTTCTTTGGCTTTTCATCCTTAAACTAATAGGCAAGCAGAATGCATGAATCCAGTTCTAGAGCAATATTTGAGATGTACCATCAACTATTATCAAAGTGATTGGACAATTCTTTTACCATTAGTAGGGTTTGCATACAATAATTTGACACATTCTTTTCCTCACAAATACCTTTTTTTTGACAATTATAGCTATTATCTATAACTTGATACTTTTGAATTTTTAAAATTTGATAATCTTGCAACAAAAGATTTGACAAATCATTTGTAGGCTTGAATTTTTTTCTATTTGTGAATAAGTCAATGCTATTGCTTATCAATTATATCTACCAAAGTCTATAAAGATCCATTCTATATTCCACATGTTTTTTCTTAAGCCATATAAGACAATGAATATCTCAAGAAAAAGACAAATGCCATCTCATTCCATTGAAGTGGATAATAATCAAGTTTTTGAGATAAAAAAACCTTAGATTTAAAGTGGTGCCTAAATATTTTGGAATATCTTGTTCATTGGTGCAAATATGATATTAGTAAATGCACTTGGGAACCAACAAAGAATCTTATAAATACAACAAAGAGAATTGAAGTTTTTTATCAATAACATCCATCAAAATCAAGATGAAAAATATCAAATCTTTGCTATAAAAGAAATAAGATCTAAGGAAGATAGCATTCTACCTTCTACTCTTGTTAATAACTTCTATATATTTATAATGCTAAGAAGATGAAAAATCAAAAACCTGTAAATTCAACTCAAGAGCTATTACTTACTGACTTATTACACAAGACATTGCAATTGTCACAACTTTCAAGATGACGTAATTGAGATGAAGATCCTCAAGAATGACATGTCTTTTTTTGAATAGATGGCAAGATAGAATATATTTGATATCACAACTTTGAAAGAAACCCTCAATATTTGGTGATTTTATTAGAGATAAGAATAATTTTTGATGCTATTTTTAATACTTTATTTGAAGGAAGTTACAAAGACCTTAACAATGATCAAATAACAAGGTGGTCTACCTGTCCTAGTATGTGACACTATCGATGGTTGAAAGGATCTATCAACCATCTTCAAAGAAAAAAAAGATTAGAATATGTGACAAATATAATTTGCTACATTTTAAATTTTTTCAATATATAATGATCACTCCTTCTGGAATTTGTCTCTAGAAAGGAAGATTATATTCTAGACATATATATTTATTCTAATATTTATCTATATGATTAAATAGAAATAAATAAAAATAGATTTATTTTATATTATTTTTTTAAAATTCTTTCTAAAAGCTTCATAGATACTACTTTAACTTTATATACATTCGTAATTGATTTGTAAGATAGAAACATCATCAATAAGTTAATCATGTATTAATAGTTTACAAAATAAGTTAAATATAATGCGCACATATAAAAAGCTTGTCTTACAAGTTAAGATACATATCTTACAAAGTCAACATGTTTTGGAGGTCCTATAAGACATTGCTACATAACTCCTAATTAAGAATATATAAAGAGGCAAGAAAGAAGCCTTGTTCACTCTTGTCAATACTTTTTTAGTCCTTAGTCTTATTTTAAGACTTTCTAATCTTCTTGTCCATGTTAGTTTAATACCATGTTAGTTTAATACTATATTTTTATTGATACGAGCATTTGATGCAAAATTATAAAAATAATAATATAGTAATTTATAATTTTTTGAAAAAAGCTTTAAGAATTAATTATTTCATTTGATAGATAAATAAGTTTTTGATTTAATATTTGAGAATTATAAAAGTTAAAGCAAAAAACTTTTACATAATTATATATTCTTTACTTTGATAAATTTTTTGTTAAAAATACATTCAAATTTTTAATGTAAATTCTTATTTTTATAAATAATTATAAAAAAAATCCACTTTATAAAATTTTGATAAATCTTATGTATGATGTCCAAATCAAATATCTAAGAAGTTGGAGCTCAATTAAGAACTCCATTTGATTGATGATTTCTTGAATCTATTAGTATTAATTTATTTTTAAAAATATTTATAGTTTGATTATTATAATTAATTTTACTTAAGTAACTTAAAGTATTAAATTTTCTATAGAAATTATTATTATTTTTTGTTATCATAATTAATTGAACTTATTATTAGTTAAAGTGGTAATTAAAAATTATTTATAATAATTATCAATTTTATGATTTTATTTTATATTTATATTGATATTCTTCGAATTTTTATTTAATATAATACAAATGTAATAATATAAAAGTTTATACCTTTTTAAAAGAAGGAAAATAATAAAAAAAAATTAACAAAGATATTTTTTTATAAAAAAGAAGACAATTTATAAGTTTAAAAATACCATAATATTTTTAAAAGCTGTATATATTTATTTATTTAATAAAAAAATTTAAATTTTATATTCTATACTTTAATCATATCAAATTTTTTAAAATTAAAAATTAGATAGTTATATGAAGTGATAATAAATAAATTTTATATCAAAGAAATAAAAATAAAATAAAAGAGATGTTTTGTAATATATGAAGATATAAGAATAGCTTTTTTATATATACAATGAAATTAGAAAATTTTAAAATAAGACTTGAGTATATAAAAATATATGTAAGACTAAAGATGGCTTTAATTTATATATATATATATATATATATATATATTAAAGGCTATGTAAAAGCATATTGAGCACTACAAAACATATATGTGAAACATCAGAAATTGCAAGATGCTTTTAAAGTGGCTTTCTTATGATGAAAAGTTTTCAGAATAATAATTGTAGTCACATTATTCATCCATAGATGCAATATATAGGTATAAAGTTTGAGTTTTTTTAAGAGATGTATTATTGGTCTAATTAAGTTTTACATACTTATACTTGTTTATATTCCTTAAGTTAATATAGATGCCTATAACATCCATATATAATTATTTTATTTAAAAATATATAAAATCAAACAAACATCTTAATTTTTTATATAAAAAATATATTTAATAATATTTTTAAAATTTTAATAGATTATAATCAATGTTTTAAAATTAACTATTACTATTAATCTTGATTAGCTTATTTTTATTTTATATATATATATATATACTGGTTATTTAATAAATGCCAATAAATATTGGTTTAATTATTTTGAATCTAATAAATTATTTAATTATGCTTTTTAAAAATACTTATAATTTTTAACACTTTAATGAATTTGATCTAAGATTTTAAGTTTCAATTTTTTCTTCTTAAGTTTTTTCACAAAGATTAATTTTAATTCATGTATATATATATATATATATATATAGTATCTAAAATACAGTTTGTAAATTAAATATATATATTCCACAGTTGAATTTGAATTCTGATATTTTTGAGAGTTGATTTTACAATATTTTCATTATATAAGTTTACTTATTTTCATAGAACTCTTATACATGCATCATAAACATGTATTTAATTGAACCTAACACAGATATTGTAAACATGTATTACAGGCATGATCTTTTCAATTTTCAATAGCACAGAACCCTCAAGAGAACTTACCTTAAAGATGGTATTAAACATGGATACTTCATTGCAGCCGCTCTTGTTAAAAAAGACTACATCTTTAAATCTATAATAATCAAACATCAAGAGTCGATTCCGCGCAGTAGAACAAATTATTTCTCCATGAAAGATCATCACCAACTGTACAATTTAAATTGTGTTTATGTGTGTAGCACTCCCGCGATATGAATTTGTATATATTTACACAAAGTCGGTGTACCCAAGTAAGACATTGTTTGTGCATTAACGAGAAAGGGTGGTTAGCAACAGATGATCACTGCAGGATGTTCTTCCGCACTCACCAAGTTATCCGAAATATCTGCAATAAAATGGAAATTATGGTTAAAATCACATACTCACACACATGCACACACGATCTCTCTCTTGCCTCAAAATGAAGGAAAAATATGGTTGGAGACACTTTATCATGGGATCCTCAAAAGCCCGGAGTTCTTCAAGTCAAGGGATTCATAAGATTTGGCAGGTTGGCATTTTCGGTGAATGAGAGAGAGAAAGAGAGAGATTGTGTTTGTGTGTGTGAGAGAGAGAGAGTAAGTGAGCAAACTGGGTCTGTTATTGGTCGACAGCAAAGTGAAGGGTGAAGGAATCAGTGCATTTTCTGAGCTCACGGTTCGGACTGACTCTGCAGCACTGCTCTTCATCTAAGAGAAGTTGCTTCACAAACTGGAAGATGTGGAGTGAATCAAATATGGGTCCTTTGGGGGCTGCGTTGTGTGGTACATATTGAGAATTCCGGTATTATTGCGCTTCACCAGTTCGTAAAAGTGCGACACCTGTGTCGCAAAACGTCAAGTTTCTACTTCGTGAAGGGAGATACTTTATATTTAGACTGTGTGTCGGATCAGCTAATCCATGCGGAGAGGAAGTTAGCTTTATCCTTGAGCTCAAAGCATCTCATTCGTCACAGTGGAACTGAATTTATCAACAGAAATGAACTTTCAAGCCCAGAGCAAAGTTGTTGTTCGTGTTGGAGGAGCTGTGAGTAAGATATACATTGAGTAGGAAGGTCATCCGCGAGTATTGTTTTTATTATCTTTGTTATAAGCAGGCACTACTACTACCGAAAATTAGGAAATGTTTCAATGCAATATTTCGCACAACTGTGTTAAGAGTCAGGATTACAACCAAGATAACGGTTGTTCCGTTTCTGCGTTTGAAATGTGTCCAGACATTCGTAGATTGGCTAAGAAATCATGGAGCTCAATACATGAATACTCTACATCACATTATTCTAATCATTCTGCGCATAAACTAATGCAAGCAGTGAGTGGTGCAATCACAAGCTTCTCATTCATACGTATGGACATGATGGTGAAAACATAAACCCAACCACAGAGGTCTATAATTCTCCTAATTGATGAGCCCTGAAGACTTCTGATGCCGAGTAAACTAGCCTTCAGTGATTCTGCAGCTTAGACATGATTTCTAAAAGCACAGGTACACTTGATTCTGGACTCCATGCTGGCTACATCGGATGCGACCTTGACACAGGCTCCTGAAAAATCTCGGACAGGGTGACAATCTAGTCAGAATAGAAATGGGCAACAGAGTTATCGTGATCGCAGGGCCTGGAAACCTTGTCAACAACCATGTAAATCTGCAGAGTCTACGTGTGATAGGCTAGTCCAACTACATTCCAACATCAATAACATTCATTTATCGTTGATTCGAATCGTGGTGCTCTTCCTACCTTCATAACACACTTTGGCTATAATCTGTAAGGGTAACCGTGGATTGATTTTGTGACCACCCTGATATCAGCCTGTTTTGCATTAATCGAGTTGATCCTCCAGCTGCTGATGATTGAGCGCAAATTAGGCCGGAATCAAGGTGGTCACAGAAATCAACAAGAGAAGGACCAACTACGACGATGACCCGAAAAAACACGAGTTGGGCAAGTTTGAAAGCTGCCGAAGGTGGCAAGTTTCCGCGGTCACCATCTGCAAGCAGCCTGAGAACGCAACGCCATTTCTTGCAAGAAGCTCCGCGATCATCAGCATCGTCACATGCACCGTCGTGCTTTAGCCTCCAGTAGAATCCGCACAGTATGCACTTCCTCACATGGGCTGAGCACCCAGGTCTGCAAGCTCAATACACTGATGGAATTTAATCCTGCGAACCACGGTCTTATATCAGTCCCAGGGCGGAGTGGGAGTGTTGGACCAAGGTCCCGGGCATAAGTGCGTTGGGAAACTAAAAACTTGCGACAAATGGATCACTGAGCCTAGCCCTAGTAAGACCGAAACCCATCTTGGCAGGAGGCATCTGCGTGGGAAGAGTATCACGCAGGCATGACGTCGCACATCAGTTTGTCTCCTGTCAAGCGGAATCAGACATCTCCTTGAAATACATGGTACCAACTAGTCATGGCTAGCAGGGCAGTGGTCGCTACTCCAAAGCGGTACATTAGAATACTTACAGACGCAGCGTCGCAAGGTTTGTCCTCGCCCCTTAAGCACTATGGTGACCCTTGGAGAAAAAGTCCTCGAGCCTCGCCCTCAACATGCCTCTGGATGGTGCAGAAACAGCTCCAATCATAACAATATCATTGTCTCTTGATTGTTCATTAACTGAGGTCAGGGCTCTGTGATAAGAACTGATCCCTCGTCTGATATATATATATATATATATATATATGTGGGTGTTTGTTTGTTGGTGCGGACAAACACAGAGCATGAATGAGAATGGAGAATAAACATCGGTGACGAATGAGAAATTACTGTTGATTTTTCCTATATCATTAGTAATTTACCAATGCCCCAACTTTACGTTAATATGCGTCTGTGATTATGTCTTTATAAGGTCATTTTAGTTCGTTTTTATCATGGAACTGGGTACTGTACGATTATTCATTACTTTGCATCATTACAAAAATGTTAGGTAACAGTGATTTTTGCAGTGAAAAATGTACCGTAAAAGATGATTGTCATCATTCAAGTTTTTGTTTTTATGCTTTACGCGATAACGAAGACTTTAAAAAAGCACTGGAGTTTTCTTTTCTGCATAAAAAGAAAAGGAGCGGATGCAAGGTCTTATCTCCCGGAGACCTGACAGTGTCCGTGTATGGATCCAGCCCAGGATTGATCCGTCGAACCAAAATAACTGTAAAGCAATTCTTACAAGTTCATGAACCGTTTTCAATGTAGGGACTGAATCTGTATTATCACCCTCAATCTGATTCGACATCTGGAAAGGAAAAAAAAACAAAAAATTGAAAAAAAAAAAAAAAAAAAAAAAAAAAAAGGAAGGAAGAAGAAGAAGAGAAGGATTTGATTAAAGGCCCAAACGCGGGGCGCATTAGCGCAGAGCATAACCACAGATGTCGGAATTTCGGTTATAAAATTAGAGGGAAAGTGGGCGGAACAGATCAATTGCAGAGTCTCGTTCGAGGAGACCACTTCTTTTGAGAGAGCCTTCTGCCAGAATTGGCAAATTCGATCCCCCTATTTGTAGCTCTGCGCAAAGCCTGCATTTCCTTTTCCAGTGTCTTACAGTTAGCGATGCCTCGATCCAGGCTCCTACCAGGCCACAGAGGCACTGTCCCAGCCTTTGTCATTGGAACTTGGAATGGAATCGGCTTGCCTCCTTGACTTCATCTCCTCCCTCCAACCCCTGCTACAATCACGCCCAGGCCTCTACCGTTGGCTACTCTAGAAAGCAACCATAGCTGTCAAAGGCCCATTGTAGCAACAGTTGGCTGCCTCCCGAAGGAGACGTCTTGAATCATGCTCTGCCTGGCCCAGATCTCCATCTCGCTTCTTCGTAGGCCCTCAGTGCCGAACACCGCACATGAGAACCCTGCTTTTAGGGGTTCCATGCAGCAGTGACACGCGTGGGTGCATTGCTCAGCACCCATGATTCCATGTCCCTGCTGCTGCTACTGCTGCTGCAACAAGCACCAGACGGCAAAAAATCTGTATTACACAGTCCCACCGCGATTGCATTTGACCACCTCGCCCCCTCCTGCAAAACACATCTCCTCTCCTCTCCTCTGCTATACACAACACAGATGCTTTCTGCACACCACCACCCTCCTCTTCGTTAGACAGCTTGTCTCCGCCGAACTGGTCTGCCACCCCAAAGGTGTGCATTTTGGAGATGGTTAGAATTGTGTGTTGTCGTCCATGGGCTGTGAATGCGGAAGGGATGATGCAGAGGGACTGGAGTCTTGCTCCCTCACACATGAAGCTCATCCTTCTTCTTCTGGTCCTGTTTTTAGTTCCTTGTGCAGATTCCCTTTCCTCAATATATTCTTGCATGTATCTTGTGGAAGTTAATTCGAGTGTGTATTGTCCAACGATGCATGCAGTGAGAGTGAGTGTGTGTGTGTGTGTGTGTTGTATTGCACCATCGATTTTGTGTCATGTGTTGTGGTCTCTTCATAGGTAACGAAAACAATTATATAAGTGCATGTTAAACAACTATTGCTCAACTTGTTGAATTTTTATGCACTAATGACAAATGAATTTCGGTTCTTTGATTTAAAAGTTTTTCATTTTTTTTTCAATTTATAAAAGGTACTAAAATAAAACTATTTTTTTAATTAGTTTAGTTATTTTAAAATTTTAACTTAATTTTCTGAAAATATTTGAATATTCTTGTATGAATTATATTGTATATTTTATGTAATTTGAAGTAAGATGTTTTTATTTTATTTTTGGTATTTCTTCGGTTTTAATAGAAAATATTAATATAAACCTATATTCATAGCACTAGTAGTTAATTAAATCACAAATCTAATTAATTTCAATTCATGCATTACTAATCTTTTACATAATCCAACTAACATACTAAGATCAAAAGCAAGTTTTTATATTTTTTATCATAGTTTTATTATATTGTGATATAACATAATTGTAATTAATGTTTTTATTTTAAAATATTCATTCTTGAGAAATATTACGATTTATTTATGCATTTATGAATTTATTTATGGAATATTTTTATACAAAAAATTAATTCTAGCACAAATACAATTAAACAGATTATATTTGCATGTTTTCAAAAATGGACCAAGTAGATGTAAGGAGCTCCAAAAGCAAAATCAATACAGACTTATAACAATAACATATTTCTATACTAAAACTTTGTATCCGGACATTATTCAAAAGAAAGTCTTATAATGTGAGCACAACCACTAATACCTTTGTTCCCATCTAAATATGATCTATACAATTATTCGGACTAAAATTATTTATCAATGATTTTAAATCTTACTTAAGCAAGGCTATAATATTGTATCAACTTAAAAGTCATAGTTGATGGAACTATCTATACTAAGAAATTGTTTAAAAAATATTAAAATAAAAATTTAATAAATAAAAAAGAATGGATAATAAAGATAATTTAAATTATTATTATAGATTAAAAAAATATTAATTTTTATTATACATACACATGTATTAAGAATTGAAGCAGTGGATAAAAAATAGTTACTATCTAAAATTAATAGAAATAATTATTTATAAAAAATAATCTTTGCTAACCTATAATCTTTCTAACCAATAAAACATAAAATATGTAAGAAAAAAAAATCCCTTTGTATAATTGCATCTATATAAAATGAGAAAAAATACAAAAGTTTAACAATAAAACAAAGACAAAAACTTTGTATCAATACCTAAGCATCTATTATATATTAAATGGATTAAATTTTTATAAATTTTCAAAAATATAATTTAAATAATTAAATTTAAAGATCTATTAAATTTTTTTATAAATCTAATTAATTACTAATTAATATAAAAATCTTTTAATGGTGTTTTAATCAATTTAAATAAGTTATTTCTAAAATTATATATTAAAGAAAAAATAACAAATATACCCCTAAAATATGATGAAATATCAAGAATATCCCACTATTCTTGATAATATAAAATATGCCCCTCACTTTTGTGATGATTGCAAATCTATTCTTGAGCTTAATAAGATGTAACCTTATTCTTATTTTAGGTGAATCTAGGGCCTAAACCATATGCTGCACAAATTTTGATGCAACACTTTTTTACCCAAGTTGGACCTTCCCACAAACTAAACACCAACACTACCACTATTGCTATTGTGGCATAACTTCCAATAACTCTTTATTACACAAGCTTGCTTACTCTAAGGCCAAGGACAAAGTACAATATTTACAAAAATATATATAAAATTTATAAATTTAATATTTTAAATTTATAAATTTAATATTTAATAAATATAAAATTTAAATTATATTTAATATTTTAAATATTATAAATTTTATATTTAAAAAATTATATATATATAATTTATAAATTTATATTTAAAATTATAAAATATATGAATTTTATTTAAATATTAAAGCTCTTTCAAGAATATTTTTATTTATTGTGTGACATTCATAGTATGAGTGGTTGGTATTGCTTTCACAAATAAGTCTACTTTGTAGATGGCACAAACTTGTTTTTTTACTATGATAGCCTTTTTTAGCAGGCTTTCTACATATTTAAGTTGCCATATAGGACCTTAGTATTTCTCTACACAGTATTGTTATTAAGTACATGAATCAAAAGAAGAAGAATCTTAAAACACTCTTGTGTAACTCAAGAAGAATAAAGGTTCATTCCAAAAGTAATATAATATTAAGACTAAAATGACTATTGCTAAAGACAAGAAGACTAGAAAGTCTTTAAATAAGACTAAGGACTAAAAAGGTATTGCTAAGAGTGAAGAAGGCTTCGCTCTTACCTTCATATATATTATCTAACTAGGAGCTACGTAATGACATTTCATAGGACTTCCAACACATGTCAAAATTACAAGGCATATGATTTAACTTGCAAAGTGAGTTTTTTAAAAGAACATCACATAGTTAGCTTATTCCACATGTAAAGTCAAAATGCACGTCCATGAAGCTTCAAGAAAGCTTCTCCAAGAGATATTCTGAAATTAATCCATTTTTATCTACTTCTATTTAAGCATGTAGGTAATTATTAGAATAAATATGTATGTTTGTGACAATTGTTCAACTTTGTCATTATCAAATATGCAATAGTCACATCACTGAGATGTCATTATATTGAATAAAAAACAAATGTAATGCACATGTGTGGATATTCCATATTAAATATCTTTAAATACCATAATAATCAATAAAAGACAATTGATATATATATATATATATATTTTGATTCAAGTATACAATATCTTTTGAAGATTATTTTGATAGAGAGAATTAAACACCTCTTCAATTCAAAGTCATGCATACATGCAATTTTCTATTTTTGAATAAGATCCTCTCTTTTGTGCTTTTGCTATAGCACCTTTTTTTCCATTTACTTCAAGTAACAAGTTAGCTTTGGATGGTTTCTAAGTAATAATCTAGTTCTGCTTACATTCACTTTTAGCCTAAACCACCTAAATAAATATAATATACATGTGTGGAAAATCCATGTTAAAATAAAATATGAATTAAAAAGAAGAAAGTACATTTGATTGCCTCTCTATCCTATGCCTTTGGCCATGGAATAAGAACATTTTCATTATAAAGATCTATTAGAAGTATTGCTATAGCAACATTGATATTAGCAGCAACATACGCATCTAATTTGTGAAGAGGCTCAA